TGGAGGTGGTCTGGTTGCTGGGGTGGGGGCCCCGGCTGTAACAGGACCTGTCTCCCTCTGGCCCTGCAGCACATGCTGGCCATCGGCAGCCTGGAGCACGCCTACATCGTGCGGTTGCTGGGCATCTGCCCCGGGACGCAGCTGCAGCTGGTGACGCAGCTCCTGCCGCTGGGCTCGCTGCTCGACTACGTGCGCAAGAACAAGGACGCCATCGGGCCGCAGCTGCTGCTCAACTGGTGCGTGCAGGTTGCCAAGGTGAGCTGCCCCATGGCCCTCGACGGCGCGTTCCCAGGGGTCCCCTCCCCACTGGGGCTGAGTGGGGAGCTAGCCCGGCTCGGGGAAGCAGAGCTGGGCTCCTGGCCCCAGGCTCGTGGGTGGGGCTGGCTGGGCAGCACGAGGAGACGGAGCGGAGAAGGGGCAGAGGCCAGGGGTAGCAGCTCCCTTGGTTCCCACACCGGGCGGGGGACCCTTCCAAACACCTGCCCCCAAAGGGCCGCTGCCCTGAAGGGAGGGTGAATCTGGCCTGTTCATCTCCACTGGGGCGTTTACCCTGAACCCTAATGGGGGACCTTCTGAACATGTCAGTGCTGTTAACTCTCTCTTCTAATCCGTGTTGTCAGACGCTTTTGGGGTGGTGGGAGGAGCCTGTGGCTGTGGGTGGAGCTTTGCAGTGGTGGGAGGAGCCTAATGCCATGGGAGGAGCTATGCGGGGGGGTGGACTTTGAGGCGGGACCACTTTAGCAAGCTCACACAGCTGGCTCTGCAGTTGTGGGTGGAGCTTTGGGGCCATGGGTGGAGCCTGAGGCTACGGGCGGAGCTAAGCCAGCAGGGGTGGGTGGAGCCTGGGGCTATGGGCGGGGCTAGGCCAGCAGGGGTGGGTGGAGCCTGAGGCTATGGGCGGAACTAGGCCAGCAGGGGTGGGTGGAGCCTGCGGCTATGGGCGGAGCTAGGCCAGCCTTCTGCCCATCACTGGACCCACCCCCCCAGACACACACACAAATGGGTTGGCCCCCAGCTCTCCGCCTCTCGCCCCCAGGGCATGTACTACTTGGAAGAGCATCGCATGGTCCATCGGAACCTGGCCGCCCGCAACATCCTGCTGAAGTCGCCCAATCAGGTGCAGGTGGCGGATTTCGGGATTGCCGACCTGCTCTACCCCGACGACAAGAAATACTTCTACAATGAGATCAAGGTGGGGCTGGGCCCCGGGACCCCCCTCGGTCCCCCCCACGTCCACTCCACGTCCCCTCCAGCAGGATGTCCCCCGAGGCTGCCTCCCCTTCCTCCCGCACTGGGGCCGCCCCAGCCAGCGTGGGGCCAGTGTCAGAGGTCTGCACCCCCCAGCAGAGGGGGCGGATTGGGAGGGTGGCTGGGGGGCCCTGCATTCAGGGTCTGCTCTTCTTCCCAGTGGAGCAGCGTGTGCATCGGGGCAGCCCCAGGGCCCCATTGACTCCGGCCCCAGGGGTCTCTCCGGCCCTGACAAAGCAGCCCCCAGGCGCTCCCCGCCCGGGTAACACTCCTTTCCTGCCTCTCGTCCCGCAGACTCCGATTAAATGGATGGCGCTGGAGAGCATCCACTTTGGGAAGTACACGCACCAGAGCGACGTCTGGAGCTACGGTCAGTGCCCGTCGTGCGGGGCTGGAGCAGCCAGGAGCTGCCCCCCCAGCCTGCGCCCTGCCCCGCTCCCCCCAGCGCCCCCCAGCGCA